ATATATATATATATATATATATATATATATATATAGTTGAAAGGATAGATCACTAAAAAAAATTAAATATATTTTTTAACAATAATTAATCATCACAAATTCCTGATATTTTATATCTATATATCATCATAATAAAGACAAAAAAATTATATTGTTTATATAGATATTATTGTTTTAGTATTTCGTAGTCTATGAATGCTTAAAAAGACTGAGATTCTTCTCCATGAATGCGTAACGTGGGAACCACTCTAGCGATGAAAATATAGATGACGGAGATTCCTTTTCCTCTGTTATTAATTTTTTTAATTTTTTTTAATATAGTCTCGAAAAGATTAGTTTTGGTAATTTATTTCTTCGCGATAAGTTTTATGATCAAACCTTGAAATCAAGTATATATCAATTACAAAATATATTTTATGCTTGATATAATTTTTTTTATGAAATAGGAGGAGAACTAAATGAGAGAAATCTCTTCTCAATCACGATTAGTTTATCAATCAATATTAATTATCTAATAAGATAATAATTAAGTAATTTATCGTATAAGAATAAAAACTTTTCATTATATAAAAATTGAATAGTCCAATCATTTTTACTAGAATAAAAAAATTCTTTTTGGTATTATAACTCATGGTATATATATATATATATATATATATTGAGTTTCAACGATCAAATCATTCAATTAAAAGTTTAATTGTATAGATAAAGTATATAATTTTTTTTAAATTTAAAATTTATATGATACTTTATTATATAAATTCAAATCAATGTATAAAATATTTTTATGATTATCCTTAATTTGAATTAACGAGATGAAGTATCAAATACATCTCAAAATTTTTAAAAATTTGTAAATTTGATTTATGCATTAAGAGTTTTTAGTTTAACAATTTGATTATTGAAATTCAACATACGCTATAAGTTATTTATTGAGTAAAGTAACTTTACAAGAGTTACTCTTAAAGTTGTTTGATCCTCCCTCTCTCTCTCTCTCTCTCTCTCTCTCT